ATTGATTTAAATGATTTTCTTGTTAGTTTATTTATACCCACAATTACTGTTTTTTTTCAGTTCTATCTTTTTTTTGCGTTACTATACTCTGCTATTTACTGTCAGAAACATTTGTTTTGGTAAAAATCAACAGACGAGAAAAATACATGTGTCTGTCCGTCCTAACGAGAGATGTAGTAGAAGAGAATTTGCGGTTAGTTTCTTTGGGAAACGACAAGCGCAGAAGTTAATAGAAAATGTTTTAAGTAAAAGAGAAAATTTGAGAAGAAAAGAGAGATCAAATTGAATTTTAACAGGAATCTGTAAAATATAAAGTTTACAGAATTTAATATTAGGATTTTAAATATCCAATAAAATGAATGTTAAAAGTAAGAAATGAGTTGAAAATTTGCATACAAAAATAATATTTTGCCTAAAGCTTTAGACTAGACTATAGAATAGACTACACACTAGCACATAGCCTAGACTATAGACTAGACTATAGACTAAACTATAAACCAGACGATAAACTAGACAATAGACTAGACTATATAATAGACTATAGACTCGACTTAATAGACTAGACTATTAGACTAGACTACTAGACTAGACTATAGAACTAGACATATGACTAGACTATAGACTAGACTATAGACTAGACTATAGACTAGACTCTAGACTAGAACTATTAGACTCGACTATAGACTAGACTATAGACTAGACTATAGACTAGACTATAGACTAGACTATAGACTAGAGGCCTATAGACTAGACTATAGACTTAGAACTATAGACTAGACTATAGACTATAGACTATAGACCTAGACTATAGACTAGACTATAGACTAGACTATAGACTAGACTATAGACTAGACTATAGACTAGACTATAGACTAGACTATAGACTAGACTATAGACTAGACTATAGACTAGACTATAGACTAGACTATAGACTAGACTATAGACTAGACTATAGACTAGACTATAGACTAGACTATAGACTAGACTATAGACTAGACTATAGACTAGACTATAGACTAGACTATAGACTAGACTATAGACTAGACTATAGACTAGACTATAGACTAGACTATAGACTAGACTATAGACCTAGACTATAGACTAGACTATAGACTAGACTATAGACTAGACTATAGACTAGACTATAGACTAGACTATAGACTAGACTATAGACTAGACTATAGACTAGACTATAGACTAGACTATAGACTAGACTATAGACGTAGACTATAGACTAGACTATAGACTAGACTATAGACTAGACTATAGCTAGACTATAGACTAGACTATAGACTAGACTATAGACTAGACTATAGACTAGACTATGAGACTAGACTATAGACTAGACTATAGACTAGACTATAGACTAGACTATAGACTAGACTATAGAGTAGACTATAGACTAGACTATAGACTAGACTATAGACTAGACTATAGACTAGACTATAGACTAGACTATAGACTAGACTATAGACTAGACTATAGACTAGACTATAGACTAGACTATAGACTAGACTATAGACTAGACTATAGACTAGACTATAGACTAGACTATAGACTAGACTATAGACTAGACTATAGACTAGACTATAGACTAGACTATAGACTAGACTATAGACTAGACTATAGACTAGACTATAGACTAGACTATAGACTACATTATAGACTATAACTACATTATACTATAGACTAGACTATAGACTAGACTATAGACTAGACTATAGACTAGACTATAGACTAGACTATAGACTAGACTATAGACTAGACTATAGACTAGACTATAGACTAGACTATAGACTAGACTATAGACTAGACTATAGACTAGACTATAGACTAGACTAGACTAGACTAGACTAGACTAGACTAGACTATAGACTAGACTATAGACTAGACTATAGACTAGACTATAGACTACATTATAGACTATAGACTACATTATAGACTATAGACTACATTATAGACTATAGACTACATTATAGACTATAGACTAGACTATAGACTAGACTATAGACTAGACTATAGACTATAGACTAGACTATAGACTATAGACTAGACTATAGACTAGACTATAGACTAGACTATAGACTAGACCAGCGGTTCCCACAGATTTTTACTTCGCGGACCCCTTGAAGAGCTTATTTAATTTCGCGGACCCCCATACATATTTTTTTCCCGTACATTGAGAATATATAATATTTCAGATAGGTTTTCAATTGCATGTTTTGAAGATAGAATGACTTCTTTGTTGATATGTTAACATGATGTTTAATTTTATGATCGTGAGATCTTTCATGTTCATTTTTCTTCAAGGTAGCGAAAAGGTTTCTTTATCAAATATTGTCACATGTGCTTAAGGAGTCACGTTTCAAAAATTTGTTGCGGTTGCAAAGGGTGAACTGAGTAAGTGAGCTAAGCTTTCGGGAAAATAATATAAGAAATCATATATTATGCGTTATCCGCATAATATATGATTTGAACTCTTTGTTAAAGTAGTGTGAATTTGGAACTTAAATTTGAATTTTAAAATACCAACGAATTATTTTACTTCATGGTTTTTGGCTGCATATTTACGCGAAACGCTATGGATTTTCTGATGTTAATTTAATAATATGTATTGGTCGACAAAATCAAGTTAAAATCTGTGTATCACGTCGGATTGGAATATTTATAAAGAGATGCATAAAGAGTCACCTCTGTTTTGGAAATATATAATTGTTGTCCTTTCAAACGAGAACACTTTTGCTTACAATTTGATAAACTTAAATCTGTAATAAGCTTGTATTTGAATTGAACTTCATACTCCGGAATACCAGTATCCCTAATTTAATTGTAAGGCAGAGTATTATTTGTCTGAAATAAAACCATTATTTCAGTACATATACAGGAAATAAAAATTACAAATCACGCAGTACTTTACTTTATAAAAGTTATACAATAAATTTGTAGGGCCTAGCATCTTCCTGATAAACAACCGAAAAAATAAAATTCAAAAGTCACCAAAAAATTTGGGATTATTGCACAAAAATTGGATATATTTGTACATACATATAAAAGCAGAATATTGTTTATTCATGGTTTTTTTCGTTCGTCTTCGCGGACCCCCTAGGATTTTACTACGGACCACTAGGGGTCCGCGGACCCCCATTTGGGAACCGTTGGACTAGACTATAGACTAGACTATAGACTAGACTATAGACTAGACTATAGACTAGACTATAGACTAGACTATAGACTAGACTATAGACTAGACTATAGACTAGACTATAGACTAGACTATAGACTAGACTATAGACTAGACTATAGACTAGACTATAGACTAGACTATAGACTAGACTATAGACTAGACTATAGACTAGACTATAGACTAGACTAGACTATAGACTAGACTATAGACTAGACTATAGACTAGACTATAGACTAGACTATAGACTAGACTATAGACTAGACTATAGACTAGACTATAGACTAGACTATAGACTAGACTATAGACTAGACTATAGACTAGACTATAGACTAGACTATAGACTAGACTATAGACTAGACTATAGACTAGACTATAGACTAGACTATAGACTAGACTATAGACTAGACTATAGACTAGACTATAGACTCTATAGACTAGACTATAGACTAGACTATAGACTAGACTATAGACTAGACTATAGACTAGACTATAGACTAGACTATAGACTAGACTATAGACTAGACTATAGACTAGACTATAGACTAGACTATAGACTAGACTATAGACTAGACTATAGACTAGACTATAGACTAGACTATAGACTAGACTATAGACTAGACTATAGACTAGACTATAGACTAGACTATAGACTAGACTATAGACTAGACTATAGACTAGACTATATAGTCTAGATCTAGTATAGACTAGACTATAGTACTAGGACTATAGACTAGACTATAGACTCTAGACTATAGACACCAATTCTATATCTAGTCTAGTCTAGAGACTATTTAGACTAGACCTATAGCCTAGACTATAGACTAGACTATAGACTTAGACTAGACTAGAGACTAGACTATAGGACTAGGACGATAGACTAGACTATAGACTAGACTATAGACTAGGACTATAGGACTAGACTATAGACTAGACTATGACTAGGACTTATAGACTAGACTATAGACTAGGACTATAGACTAGGACTATAGGACTAGACTATAGACTAGACTATAGACTAGACTATAGGACTAGACTATAGACTAGACTATAGACTAGACTATAGACTAGACTATAGGGACTAGACTATAGACTAGACTATAGACTAGACTTACAGACTAGACATAGACTATAGACTAGACTATAGACTAGACTATACTAGACTAGGGACTATAGACTAGACTATAGACTAGACTATAGACTAGACTATCGGACTAGACTATAGACTAGACTATAGACTGACTATAGACTAGACTATAGACTAGACTAAAGACTAGACTATAGACTAGACTATAGACTAGACTATAGACTAGACTATAGGACTAGACTATAGACTAGACTATAGACTAGACTATAGTGGACTTTTTCATAGTCAGCAGACTATTCGTAGCTACTCCAGTTAATACTTAGCCAATAGATTAGTCTACAGATTAGTCCATAGACTATTCCACAGATTAGTTAATGGACTAATCTATGGCCTAGTTCATAAACTTGTTAATGGACTTATCTGTAGTCTATTTCAATGGCTATGTTGTTAAGCTTGTCAGTAGACATTTTAGTATAAAAAGCCACGATGGTAGACTTATTAGTTTATAAGCCTTTATAATATCGTTGTTCGCCCAATCTTTGGATTTTTTTACGATTCCTAAGCCATTCTGATCACAGTTAGGTGAACGATATAATTGTCATATATCAAGAAGATGGTTTAATATGTATGAATAAAGCATAGATCTTGTGAAAATAAGATACAGTGTGGTTCCTTTACCTTTACTGAGACCTATATTAATCCCTTTCTTTTGTTATAAAAATAATACAAATAATTATATTTGCCAATAATTGTATAGGATATTTATTATTACTTTCTTCTAAGTTATAGAAATAAAAAAAGATTTCGTTAAACACATTTTCCTAACCAGTTGTACGTACACATCTGCGTTCACAGCTGGCCCTAGAACACCAACGATTTGCATTGCCACCACAACCCAAATGATTCATTTGGATGCAAGTACGTGTTGCTTGATTATAATACCACATTGTGCGGGGTGGGGCAGCAGGACATCTTGAGCCAACATCACGAGGACCCACACATCTGGCAGGACCTTTAAAATAAAAGTTAATTATGCATATATTTTTGTATTAAGTAAAATGTTTAAAGTTTTACTATTTTGTAATACTTACGTGCTCTTTGAGGACATCTACGACGTTGGGCCGTGGTACCAGCTACTAAAATTACTACCACAATGGTTAATAAAATCATAAATTTCATTTTGATTTTTAGTTTAAAGAAATTGTCTTGTGTTGTTTTGATTGGTGAACTGTGTTATGTTGTTTTCGTTTTTTAATACCGAGTATTTATAGCAAATTTAAGCTGAAATTTAAACAGATGTTTTGGGTTAAACACTTTTTTGTTTTATAGAAATTTTATTTCAATAAAGGAAGCTTTTTTTAAAGACTACATGCATTTTTTGTTATTATTTAATTTTTAATTGCATTGTTATTAAAACAAAGCGTTGTTTTTAAACATCCGTGTTAAACAATGTTTTGTTTGCTACAAACACGTGCAGATTGTGGAAGTGGAAAGTACTTTTAAAAAATTGTACGAAATAAGTTTAACATGCTTGAGCCTAAACCTACTTTTTTAATATTTTAAATAATTTTCAATAGGTCCACGGCACAAGTGCCACATTTGCCCCATCTCGAGCGATAAAAGTCAAAACCAAAAAATTGTTCTATTTAAGCGAATTTTGTGCAAATTTGACCTAAGACTTCAACTTTGATAAAATGTTTGCTCGTGTTAAGTTATTGCTTTCTATACCAAAATTAGCATTAACATACGAAGTGGGCGTGGGCAAGATGTAATCGCCCCTTTTTTAAGTGTAGTGGTTCTAACTCGTATTGTGAATGTGAAGTGTATATTTCTTAAATTAAACTTTTGTCGCACCAGACTGACTTTTTAGGAAGTTTTCATTATGAAGGACAGAAGGAAAACTGTGATGGAATAGGTACTATGTATACAGTAGAGATATTCGAATGTGTACGGACATGTACATGTGTACGACATCAAACTTGGTCCTTGAATGACGGGGGCATCCCTTAACGTACTTCACTAGCATGTGGAGAAACCTATACATTCGTTGATATACCGCACTCCGGCAGCTCGATTCATAATAGAAGAGACCTACCGCTTCCCAGCTTTTGGATTCGTGATAGACTCCACTACATTTCGCAATTCTGAAAGTTTTTATACAATTCATATTAAGAGTTCCTTCGTTTGATATTGCAAAATTGGAAAGATTTTACTATTTTTCTTTTCAACCCTTTTATATATCAAAACTGTTGCTTCACCTGAACCACATGGTAGTATTTCAGAGAGTGAGTGTGATTTTAACTTAATTTAGATTGTAGGGAAAAATTGATTTAAATGATTTTTATGTTACTTTGTGGTTTTTGTTTTTTTTAAACAAAGTTCTCATATTTACTGTCACAAACATTTGTTTTGGCAAAAACTGCTAATGGTTAAAAAATTAGAAGAGAATTTATGGTTCTTTTTTAGGAGCAAACAGCGCAGAAGTTAATAAAGATTTTGGTGCAATGTAAATAAGAAAGAAAAAAGAACTGCAAATACTTTAAAATGTTAAACTTTAACAGCAAAAACATTAAGTAAATAAGTTAATTCTTTACGATGCTAATATCCTCCAAAGATCCTTGAACGAGATCCTATGTGATGCTCTGCATAAAACTAAACGTGCCTTCAATGCATTTGAATTTTAAACAAATATTTTGTTTGACCGATAACTTTAATATTTTCTAACAGATTTTTAACATTTGAAAAAATTTCTAAAAAGTCTTAACAGTTTGAGATAAAATCTCTCTCCCAAAATATAGTTTTATTTTCTCTTCTAGAAAACTTTATTTAAATCTGCACAATTGTATAAGAGTTTTATTTTTGTGGTGCCCTTTTTTTGAACCAAAAACCAAACAAATAAATAATTCCTCCTGTTGCTTTATAATGCGTGTTTTTTTTTTTGCAGACAATTTCTTCGCCAACATACACATGCTAATAAAAGACCACAATATATATACATACATACTACTAATACAGTCATCAATAAGGGAATGTGGTTACATAGATATGTATGTATGTATGTAAGTTAACATCTATATATTTATAGTTCAATATGTATTTAATTTTTATGACGTATTTATTAAGGTAGTATTTGTCACCCAATATTTAAATTTTATTTAGTTCATTATAATTTCATGTTTCTCAAAATTTTTCTCCTGGGGTCAATATTTAGCCAGTCAAAGGTTTTTTAAATTATTTTCCTATTGCACGCAAAGGAATTTCTTAGATCAAATCTTGTATTTTTATGCCTACAACACCATTAGTGGTTATAAAGAATATATGTATATAAGGTTGTCAATCTCAAAAAAAAAATAAAATATGTTTCCTCTTTCTTCAGTTTTTTTCTTTTGTCACACGTCAATTTTTTCGACCAATTATAAAATTCCGTTCGAAATCCTAACAATCGATCCAAAATTTACCATAACTGCCGTTAAAAGTACATAAACCGAGTATTAGACTAATCGTTCACAAGTCCGTAAAAATGTAGCTATCACCACAATATTATATTACTAACCTAGATCTATTCTTGCTCAATTATTCCACACTAATACATATATTCTATGTACATATACATCTATAAATAACTCCCAAAAAATTTTTCCGTATCTGCCGGTAATTGGACATAGCTTCAATATAAAGGCCTCCTGCGAAAATCACATCACCATCAAAAAATATATACTTTTTTTATTATTTATTTATTTATTTGTGTTTTTAAATTTCATTTACATATGTTTGTGCTGTTGTTTGTAGCAATATTGAAATTTGCGTTTGGGATTGTGTTGCTATCGGTTGTAGTAAGGTTGTTGTTTGTGTTATCTTCGTCAACTATATTTGTGTTGCTGAAAATGGTGTTTGTGCTCGTGATGTTTAAGTTTGTGTATGTACTGTTGCTTTCAATGTGTCTATTATGCTCGATGACCGGGTTGATCACGGGGGTTTGGGGCAGGTATTGGAATTGATGATTTTTTAAGAGGATTCTTAGAATACGGTTTTGTGTTTGTTGTATACTGCTACAGTATATGGAGCTAACCCGTGTGGTATATAGGATTTTACAAACGAAAAATAAGCTTGTTTCATGACAGTAAAAGTTGTACAATTACTTAGATGAAAAAGACTTTTTGGTATCTCGATTTTGTTATTTCGTTTGTAACACCTCGAAATATTGGTCATAGACCCACATATATACAAGTTTCGTAGTTAGTTAGTTAGTTAGTTAGTTAGTTAGTTAGTAGTTAGTTAGTTAGTTAGTTAGTTAGTTAGTTAGTTAGTTAGTTAGTTAGTTAGTTAGTTAGTTAGTTAGTTAGTTAGTTAGTTAGTTAGTTAGTTAGTTAGTAGTTAGTTAGTTAGTTAGTTAGTTAGTTAGTAGTTAGTTAGTTAGTTAGTTAGTTAGTTAGTTAGTTAGTTAGTTAGTTAGTTAGTTAGTTAGTTAGTTAGTAGTTAGTTAGTTAGTAGTTAGTTAGTTAGTTAGTTAGTTAGTTAGTTAGTTAGTTAGTTAGTTAGTTAGTTAGTTAGTTAGTTAGTTAGTTAGTTAGTTAGTTAGTTAGTTAGTTAGTTAGTTAGTTAGTTAGTTAGTTAGTTAGTTAGTAGTTAGTTAGTTAGTTAGTTAGTTAGTTAGTAGTTAGTTAGTTAGTTAGTTAGTTAGTTAGTTAGTTAGTTAGTTAGTTAGTTAGTTAGTTAGTTAGTTAGTTAGTTAGTTAGTTAGTAGTTAGTTAGTTAGTTAGTTAGTTAGTTAGTTAGTTAGTTAGTTAGTTAGTTAGTTAGTAGTTAGTTAGTTAGTTAGTTAGTTAGTTAGTTAGTTAGTTAGTTAGTTAGTTAGTTAGTTAGTTAGTTAGTTAGTTAGTTAGTTAGTTAGTAGTTAGTTAGTAGTTAGTTAGTTAGTTAGTTAGTTAGTTAGTTAGTTAGTTAGTTAGTTAGTTAGTTAGTTAGTTAGTTAGTTAGTTAGTTAGTTAGTAGTTAGTTAGTTAGTAGTTAGTTAGTTAGTTAGTTAGTAGTTAGTTAGTTAGTTAGTTAGTTAGTTAGTTAGTTAGTTAGTTAGTTAGTAGTTAGTTAGTTAGTTAGTTAGTTAGTTAGTTAGTTAGTTAGTAGTTAGTTAGTTAGTTAGTTAGTTAGTTAGTTAGTTAGTTAGTAGTTAGTTAGTTAGTTAGTAGTTAGTTAGTTAGTTAGTTAGTTAGTTAGTTAGTTAGTAGTTAGTAGTTAGTTAGTTAGTAGTTAGTTAGTAGTAGTTAGTTAGTTAGTTAGTAGTTAGTTAGTTAGTTAGTTAGTTAGTTAGTTAGTTAGTTAGTTAGTTAGTTAGTAGTTAGTTAGTTAGTTAGTTAGTTAGTTAGTTAGTTAGTTAGTTAGTTAGTTAGTTAGTTAGTTAGTTAGTTAGTTAGTTAGTTAGTTAGTTAGTTAGTTAGTTAGTTAGTAGTTAGTTAGTTAGTTAGTTAGTTAGTTAGTTAGTTAGTTAGTTAGTTAGTTAGTTAGTTAGTTAGTTAGTTAGTTAGTTAGTTAGTTAGTTAGTTAGTTAGTTAGTAGTTAAAACACAAACATCCATTTATCTTGTACAGAAGAAAGGGTCCTTAACAGGAAATATCTATCCCTGCAATATATTTATATTCTCAGTGAAATCATAAATGTCCTTTTATCTTCTGAAATTCTATGAAGACCAGTTTACAACTCATACTGCTGATGAGGTTAAAATGAATAATTACAGTAATTTCTAGTTTGTAATACAATAAGTAGTACAATTTTGACATGCAACCAACACGATGTCTGAATGAATAGAAATGACAACTATACGAGTCAGCAAACAGTCAAACAACAATGAATGTATGCAAAACCTATAACAAGGACTACGCTTATTGCTTAAGTTTATCAATAAGAGTACATACATATGTAGTAACTTATATATTGCTCTGTGTTTTGCAAAAAAGACTATGTGGATTTTCAAAATTTTATTATATTTCATAATTTGAGTAATTTGTATATTTTATTCAGGTATTAATATGTTATCTATTGAAAATTTCACATAGACTATTTTCGCAGACAATCCTGCCATGTACTAGTCTATATATATGATTTTATTAATACCTATTAAAAGTAGATAAGTGCAATTAATAATTAGTTAGGTACAACTTTGTTGTGGTATTTCTATAGAATTTCAAAATTTAACGATTTTTTTTTCTGCATTGATATTTTTATATTTTCCTTTTCTGTTTTTTAAGTACAAA